CTCCACGCTTAGCCAGTATTGTGTCCCTTTGTTGTGAAACACACACACACACATACACACACACATACACACACACATACACACACACATACACACACACATAGACACACACATACACACACATACACACACGTACACACACTTACGCATACACACACATACACACACATACACACACATACACACACACATACGCACACACACACACACACACACATACACACACATACACACACACACACGTTCATCCAGTGTTGTATCTCTGGGTTGTGTCACAACAGCAACACGGTCACCACACGCACATTATGACACATTTTATCGTCATGTAGAAAAGAACACACACTGGTATATTTATGTACATCAAAAGTAACCCATCAGGGTTTTGGACTCAGTTAGTCACGAAGAACAATTCAAACTCGGAGAAATCTAGACGGTATAAATTAGAGGTGGGCAAAATCCGGATAAATATCCGGATAATCGGAAAATTCTCAATGAAACATTATCCGAATTCAGACTCTAAAACTCTCTTTCCTAACCCGTTTGCCGAAGTAGGTGCACCCATGTGTGGAAATGATTCTAACCCGTTTGTCGAAGTGGTACTAACCCATTTGCCGAATCGGTTCATAACATATTATATACCGAAAAAGTGCACTAACATATTTTCCGGATTTTGCTAAAGCGACTCTTTACTCACCCCTAGTATAAATAGGTTTATAATTTGCATGCCTTGCGGCCACTTCGACACACTTTCGATCATTTGGTCGCTTTTAAGCGCAAGCGGGCTATCTCGCAAAATGCTGTTTTGAGAAAATCGAAGGTAAAGTTTTTGCCCCTTGTTCAGTTTCTTTAAAAGACAAGGAGAGTTTTCTCTAAAAATAAACAAATATAAACACCAATGAAACCAAACTTCTCCTATAGGTAGGACAATGCCCACTTTTGGCGTAGGTCAAGATTTCTGGAAACCCCCGAAATCTGGGTTAGCCCGCTTGTCCTTAAAAGCGACCATTTAGGAGGCGGGCTTCGACCCTGTCTGTCAGGGTCAACTTGTGCTGAGAGGGATACAACGTCCTTGTGGAGAGATAGATCGAGATACTCATAAACGTTTCCCCCCACTCGGAAATCGAACTCGGGCCTCCTGGGAAAAAAATATAATAGTTTCATGAGCAATGGTGAAAATATCAAACAATCTCAACAGATCAAATTATGTTCTTGGATATATATCTATCATAGCGGCCAACGCTACATGTAGCGCAGTCGTAGAACGAAGACCACCAGTAACCAAAAACTGACTGACAATCAGAAACGTCTCAATGACACGCGATAATATTGTTCTGAAAGCCGTGTGTGCTCAATTGTAAATCTATGTGCTCAACGCTTCTATACAGCCGTACTGTAAATATGTGTACTCAACGTTTCTATAAAGCTGTACTGTAAATCTGATTGCTCAACGCTTCTATAAAGCTGTACTGTAAATCTACTCAACGTTTCTATACAGCTGTACCTGTAAATCTGTGTACTCAAAGCTTCTATACAGCTGTACTGTAAATCTACTCAACCATTCTATACAGCTGTAAATCTGTGTACTCAAAGCTTCTATACAGCTGTAAATCTGTGTACGCAAAGCTTCTATACAGCTGTAAATCAATGGGCTCAATGCTTCTATACAACTGTAAATATGAGTGTACTAAACGCTTCTATACAGCTGTACTGTAAATCTGTGTACTCGCCGCTTCTATGCAGCTGTAAATCCGTGTACTAAACGCTTCTATACAACTGTAAATATGTGTACTAAATCCTTCTATACAACTGTAAATATGTGTACTAAACACTTCTATACAGCTGTAAATGCGGGACAATTATATCAAAGACAATGAAAGAAAACCTGAAGCAACAATAAAAATGTTTTCTGAGGGGAGTGGTGAGAGAATTGTGCAAGGACAAGATCAAACGAGAGAGTGCCAGCGGGCAACAACATCAACATCAACATCATCAACAACAGCATCATCATCATCATTATCATCGTCATCATCAACAAAAACAACAACACTAACAACAGTAACAACAACATCAACAACAATAACAACAACAACACTACTCTGAACGTCATACATGTATGCGTGATAGTAATAAATAATTATTTAGATGGTTTTTCTCTCTGGGTGAAAAAGTAAGAAATAATATTTAGACCGTTATTTCCCTCAGTATGAAGATAACAATACATTTTTTTAGAATGTAAGTGTTTTTACACGGTCATCAACACAATTTAGTTTAGATAATTCAGGTTGTGGGCTTCAGACTCTGCCCCACAGGGCAATTCCGGGCTGAGAGGGATACAACATCCCAGCAGAAAGACTGAGACACTCAATAAAAAAATTCTCAAATCTTGGGAATTGAACTCGGGTCTCCTATGTGCGAGAAAGAAGTGCCTAACCACTACACCACAGACACCGGTGTAACAACTGATATTCAAACTGTTAGTCATGTATGTGTGAAAGTAACAACTGGTATTTAAACAGTTAGTCCTCTAAGTGTGAAAGTAACAAGTGATATCAAAGTTTAAACATATTTTTTTCCTTTCGTTATGATAAGAAAAAAATGATTTTTCGACAGTTTTTTTTCTTCAATAGTAAATGTAACAAAATTGAATAATGATTTTTCCAACCGCTAGTCCCTTCAGTTTTGAAAGTAACTGACGATATGTTCACAGTTATTTCCTTCCGTTTTGAAAGTAACAAAACATGATGTTTTCACCATTCTTCCCTTCAGTTGTGAAAGTAACAAATGATAATATTTCCACGGTTATTTCCTTCCGTTTTGAAAGTAACAATTCATATTTTCACAATTATTTCCTTCAGTTGTAAAAGTAACAAATGATGATAGTCTCGCCGTTATTTCCTTCCGTTTTGAAAGTAACAGACGATGTTGGGGTCCTGTAGCTCCTTATGTATTTTCCTGATCTCATCCATGCTGTTCTTGTGGCCGCTGATCCTCTTCTGGTAGTTGCAGCCGTTGGGGGCTATCTTCTGGCCGTTGAACTTCCAGTTGTTGATGAGCGGCACGGACGTGCGCTGCGCCAGCATGCCCGTGAGGTAGACATCCTCCAGGAAGAAGTCCGGCACGTAGAGGGACTCCTGGTAGATCCGCTTGGCGGCGCTGGTGGTCAGTGAGTAGGCGCAGCCGGACATGTAGTGGGGGAAGTACCGGCCGGGGTAGTGGCTCAAAGCCACGTACCACTTGTTCTTCTTGTCCCGTATGACAGCGGAGCGTGCGTGGCTTTGGCCCATGATGAAGGTGCGCGTGCGTTGGTACTGGGCGCGCAGGTCTTTGAGCAGTCGTGGCACGTTGATGTACATGTCGTCGTCCGCTTTGAGCACGAATGTGGAGTTGGGGCACGACTCGCTCACCCACTTCATCAGCGCCACGCTCTTCAGGCTCAAGTTCCGGTAGGTGTCCAGGAAATCTTCCTGCACGATATCGCCGAACGTCTCCGACTCCTGGTCGATTCTGGTCTGGAAGAACTTGGTTCTAGGCCGGCCCAAGAAGAACAGTAGTGCTGTCCGGTGCTCCGGGTTCTTGGCGTACTGGCCCCACGTCTCCCTGATCGTCTTGCGGCCCCGGAAGTTGTCGGCGCTGGTGGGGGCGCCCAGAACCAGCTCCACCTCTCTGCCGCGGCACACGTCAGCTGACTGGTGGATGTAGCGGAAGTCGTGCGGGTTGACCACTTTCCGCCCCCGCCTGGCCGTGCTTGTCATGTTGCTGACGTCATCGACGCCAGTGCTACGGGAGGAGTTGTCGGAACCCAGCACATCATCGTCTGTGAACGTGGTGAAGTCCTCACCAGCGTCCTGTGACGTAGTGGGGAGCGTGGTCTGTGTGGGCGTGTTCAGGCTCCTGTCTGTCGTGTGCTTTGACCTTGACGCCGGCGTGGAGTTGATGTGTTGGAGACGCAGGGAAGAGTTGTGCAGCTTGCTGATGACGTATTTCTGCACGCTATTTATAGCACGCCTCGCGTCTGACAGAAAGGTCAAGGACGATGTAGGATTCCCCTTCATATCTGTGCGAACCTCTGCTCTTGGGTTTGGGGTGACGGTTGTGTCTATGGAGACATCCGGTCTGTAATTTCCGGCGTTCATGAGGAGCGTGCGGGGGAAAGTGGAGAGGAGAACCAAAAGGCCAACGGCACAGAGGGAGACCAGGGTGAACCGGCTGAAGCGGGGACGGAAACAGGCCACGCACCTGGACAAGGAGAAAAGAAATAAGTAGGTGTTAAAACACAGTTTTTGGAAAGGAACAATAAAGCGTTAAAACAGAGTTTTGTTTAAGGAATAAGGCGTTGTAACAGAGATGTGTGAAAGAAACAATAAAGCGTTTAAACAGTTTTGTGAAAGTAACAATAAGATGTTAAAACAGGAGAGTTGTGGAAAATGAACAATAAGGCGTTAAAAGAGAGTTTTGTGAAATGAATAAGGAATTAAAACAAGAGTTGAAGGAAAGGAATATAAGACGTTATAACAGAGTGGTGTGAAAGGAATAAGGTGTTAAAACAGAGTTTTGCCAAAGAAATAGTTAGGTGCTAGTAGGTGTTGTCAAAAAAGGTAGCTAAGCTGTATAACAAGACCCCATGGCCAACGTGTTGGGTGGTATGAAGAAATAGTCATGTATGAACAGAAAGTTTTGATATCTTATAGTCAGATATGTACACAAAACTTTGATATTTGACTGTAAGATATGAACATAATATTATTACAGTGGAATCCTGTTATAACGAGAGGTAGGGGACCGGTGCGAAATGTCTGTTAAAGCAGGATTCTCGTTACAAGGGATCCAGTAATACTTTCTAGGGAAATAGTAAAGTAGGCCTAATCTATGAGTTTGTCGTTCTGTTTATTCCTTTCTGTATTTCCCCTGATGATGATTTGTTCAACATGATCTCTAGGTCTTACTTGATCAAAAATCGAATTAGGTTTCTTTCTCTAGCACTAGCAATGCTGACAGCTCAGCGTTGGCGATCAGAAAAAAGGGCCCTGGCTCTAGGCTAACTCGCCCGCTGTGTTGTCCCCCACCCCACCACACCCTGTGGTGCGTTGTGTCTGCTAGCGAACGTCACACATTCCTTCCATCTATCAAAGCATTGTGACCTCTCCGTCCCGCACCAGAGAAGTGAGAGGCACGGTATGCCTAGAGACAATCTAGACTGGACTGGCCTATCACGCAATGCGTTCTGCTTGTCTGCGCATGCCACACCCTCCTCATTCGTTCGCTCCGGCCTTCATTGTTGGTTCGCGTGGGCTCTCCCATTCTTTGTTTCGCTGGATCACCAATAACTTTCTCAACTGGCAAGGTTTTATAATATGTGTAATTGGTCTGCGCGCTGTGCACAGCAGCAGCAATATTCCGTTAAAACCGACTGGCGTGACGGTCTGATTGCGCAATAGCAGTATTTTATTTACAAAGATAAAGAAGAAGAAAAAACGGGGTTTTAGAATAGTGCTTTTATAACAGACTTCTCGTTGTTTCAGGACTCGTTATAAGTGGACTCCACTGTATAAAGCTTTGATATTTAGGACTAACTAATTGATAGTCAGATATGAACATAAAGTTCTGATATTTGGTGGTCGGATATGAACATAACGTTTTGATATATTATAATAGTCATATATGCACTGAAAGTTCTGATATTTGGTAGTCAGATATGAAGATAAAGATTTAGTATTTTATAGTCTGATATGAAGATAATGTGTTGTCATTTAATTGTCAGATATGAAGATAAAGTTTTGATATTTGATAGTCAGCTATGAAGATAAAGTATTGTAATTTAATTGTCAGATATGAAAGTAATATTCTCTTAAGTAATAGTAAAGATTTAAAACAGTGTTTTGTTCAAGATTATAGTCAGATGTGAGATCAAAGTGTTGTCATGGCGATGTTTACAGTGGCCTACCCCCCCCCCCTTCAACTTCTTTAGCTACCCCCGCACCAACAATATCACAAACAGTAGCAAAGAGAAGTGAAATCAATGCAGAACTCCTTTTTTTTGCCACTGATACAATAATGTACTTCGTTACTGCACGACAAGTCATAGATAGATAGATAGATAGATAGATAGATAGATAGATAGATAGATAGATAGATAGATAGATAGATAGATAGATAGATAGATG